CAGGGAGGGCCCGGAAGCTAACTTTTTTGAGGGGTTGATTTTTGTTTTCTTGTGTGTCTGACAGTAAGCATACTGAGGGTGGGGGCATCATGTCTTGTCCCTTGCTCCTGTCCACGGCCTGCTTAGCAGTTCCTCTCTATGTACCTGCTTAGTGAACGAGAGGGTACATGATGTCCAAAGTGCAGGTGTGGCACTGCTAAGCAGACATCAGGTGGCAGACAAAATGGGGTCATCAACCAGTCCTTCCCAGGGTGACTTTATAGACATTAATGTTTTTATATATAAAACCTCCCCCTCTGCACACTCCCCCATTAAAATTGATATAGCATATTTCTTTCCCAAAATACAGTGACTCCTATCTAAAGGAGGAAGGATGTAAGTAACAAGGGGGAGGGAGGGAAGCATTTGTTCCACTCAGAAAGTTCAGCGAGTAGGGCAAATTTAAGGGATTGGAAATAAGTTTCAAGATAAGGTGAACTGAGGATGAAAAGAGCAGGGAAGCCATTATAGATGCATGAGCAGATCTGCATTTGGGCAGCTTGAAAAGGGCAGGCAGGGTCAAGCGTGAGAACTTGTGTCCTCTGCAGTGGGTGGGCAGGTCGTATGCTCTGAGGATCAATGGGAGGGTTGAGGATGTGGAGAGCATCAGTTTCTCACTGGAGAGTGAGGTGGGCAGGTGGGTTAGAACTGTAGCTTCTGAGCTACTGTAAAAGATGATGCTTTAAATCGGCATCATCAGACATCGTGGAGGGGCATAGCAAAGAAGTAGAATTGCATCATTGTGGTTTAGCATGTCCTTTGTCTTAATTGAAGTGTTCAACTCAGTTTATCCGAGTTTCCTTAATTGAAGTGAAAATGTCAGCTACAGAGAATAGAAGTTATCAAAACAGATTCTGTGGATAATGGAGTGCCAGCCACCCTTCTTTCCCATTACAGTCAAAAGTTGGCAGCTTGCCTGTTGATTTCACATATTTATTATTTATCCTTCCTTTGAAATCAAAAGTCTGGAAGAGAAGATAATTATTTCCATGCTTCCAGGAATCAGGAAGTTGGTATAGAGGGTGGGTGGTTTAAGGGAGGGATGGAGAGAACGGGACAGGAGCTCTACCAGAGTAGTTTTATAACCATGGGGAGTTTGTGTGTCTCAGAATCTAGGCTAGACACGATACAGGGCAAGGTAACCTAACTCATGGGACCTCAGGAAATGAGTTTATAAGCTTTGCAAAATGAGGGCTTGAGGCTGTGGTGCTGGGTAACTTGGGATAGGTCAGAATTAGAGACGGTAAGCCTAAAGAGATGGTAAGACAGACCCCAAATGTGTAGTCTTCTGCTCTGCCAGATACTGGCAGAGGGGGATGCCAAGGGTTGGATAGAGGTGGCAGTGGCCTTACTGTGGCTGTCTACACATGGCACACATGAAGGGGTGGGCATAGCCATTGTACTTAGCCGCTGTAAGGACCCTTCCTGTAAGGGTACTTAACCTAAGTGTAAAGCAATTGACACTTTCTGACAATCTCTATCTATGTATTTGGCGCCGTACCTGACAAACACTGTGCCATGGTGTCAGCTTCCTGGATACATTTACTGCCTTGCAAGGCCACTCTTCTGGCCCAGGTGGGCACTTGGAGAGGCCGTTGAGTCTGCCTTGCATGCAGACATTCCCCACCAGCACAGCGATGGCACTGGCTCTGGGGGAAGGACACATGGGGAGGTGACATGTGCTTTTACCGTTTCATCAAGCATGTGGAGGTCAGGGAAACCCAGATCAATTTGGCCTCCCTTCTGGAGAAGATAGGCAGGCCGAACGGCTATGCACACAAATTCCCTTTCCTTTTCTCAGTGCAACTACTGAAACTGTTATTCTTTGTCTAGATATGTACCCATTAACTGCAGCACCCCAGGAGGCTGAGAGTAGCCAGAAGCTGACTCACTTACTGAATGCCGTGACTGATGCCCTGGTCTGGGTGATCTCCAAGAGTGGCATCCCTTCCCAGCAGCAGTCTATTCGCCTGGCTAACCTGCTGATGCTCCTTTCTCATGTCAGGCATGCCAGGTACAATCCCTGGGGGCCTGCTCCCAGGTGTGTGTGCATGTGCATGTGTATGGGGTGTACATACTAAGAGGAGGGTGAAGAGTTTTGGGACACATATTTGTCGGTAGATGGGAAAGGCAGAATTGTCATCTTGGAAGGAAAATGAATCCCTGAGTGGGGATGTGGATTTCCAGGCCTCATGCCTGTAACTGAGGATCAGTACATAGTTTACTGTGAATGACTGTCAATGTGACACCTTTTTGGCTCTTCGTGGCATCCTGTGGTGGATCATCTGTTCTTCAGTTGCTGGGCATTTTAGCTTGCATATAGAGTTCTAAAAGGGGTGACTCTCCACCACCCCGCCTTGGCCCTCAGGCTGGTGCCTGAGTCATTTTCCTGAGAGGGTTAGCCCAGTTCTCCTGGATCAGTACCTGAGACTGGTGATCTGGGGAGGCCACAGCATCAGGATATTAAGGTTGAGACTAACAGGTCTGTGACCCCAAGGCTGAGAAAGCAGAAGGAGTGAGTTCAGGAGGTGTAAGCTGTGGGCACTGATGAAGGGCGACAATGTGGAGTGATGGTCACAGGAGCAGCCCTGCCCTGGGGCTGGAGGAGGAAGTTGAGGGTGGAAGGCAATTGCTCACCTGAGGAGGCAAGTCTAGGGTTTGAGTGGAAGAGAACATATATTTCAAGAACATAAACGAGAGGGGTGAAATAAAAAAATTACCCTTGCCTCTGCTTCCTCTTGAATGACTATTCAGTACACAACCATTTGTAGACCAGACAGTCCATCATCCCATTTTGGGATTTCATATTTGCAAATTTGCTTGCTTGTAAAACTTATTTGTAACCCTAAAAACCAGTATGAATCTTTTGAGGTTTTTCTTGGACAGTCAGAGTAACCTGAGTTACCCATGCTTACATCCTTAGCCAAGGGCAAATTAGCTGAGGCCTCTCTTATTTCAATTCTCATAGTATAAACAAATGTCCCGCACTGCTCTTAGAAATCTTACTTAAAAAAAAAATTTACTTTAAAAACAGCTTGCAAGCACTGCTGATGTTGTTCCTAAGAGAACAAGACTCTAATGGGCCTTGTGGAGAAATACATGTTGGGTAAGCTTCATTCAGGCAAGAGCTGTGTGTATCCACATGCACAAATGCACAGACGCATGATGAGTTAAATGCCAGTTGTTCAATGAAATATGCTCACACATAACAGGTTGTATGTTAGTCTATGAGGTTATATATTAATTAACTGATAAAAATTGTGACCAGATCTCTCAGGAAGCGAAATTGGCCCCAGAGTAAAGGTTCAATACTTGTTCAATCCTTGTGTTGAATTTAACTAGTGAAAATCAATTACCCTGTGCCAGATGGGTGGTGTAGATTATTGAAGGGGCCAGATGCATTGAACAAAGAAAGGGCTGGGGAACATTCATGGGAGTTGGGGGTGGACTTGCTGTGCATGGGTGAGTTGGGGAAGAAATCAAATTCCGGGACTGCTTCTCTCAACACTTTTTCTTTGTCCCCACAGTAACAAGGGCATGGAACACCTACTCAGCATGAAGTGCAAAAACATGGTCCCAGTCTATGATCTGTTGCTGGAGATGCTGAATGCCCACACGCTTCGTGGGTTTAAGTCCTCAGTCGTAGGGTCTGGGGGTATCCCAGCAGAGGAGAGTGAGAACAAAGAGGGCTTCCAGAACCCACAATTTCAGTGATGCCCAGCTCTGATGTGAACCGGCTGCAGAGGTCAGAGATTTAAGCATGACAGCAGCATGAATCATGAGCCCCAAGGGGAGTGGGTGGGCTTCCTTCTACTGTGTTCCTCCTTTGGTTATGGCAGGCTCGGTCAGGTGCCATTCACCTCTGACCTCCCCACTTCCCAAGAGTCAAGGTGAGAGAGCCAGACTTCTTGTGACCAGGGGTGCTTGAATGCAGAGTTTATGTTTTGCTTGGTCTGCAGGGTCTCACTGTTGACCCTTCCTTGCCACTACCTTCCATTGCTTTGGAAAACACTTGAGAGCCTGGTGGAAATGCAAGTTGTAAGGGTTGTAAAGTGGAAGGGGGCTGAATGTGGCACACTCATGGGAACAAAAGCTGCCCTTCTTTGGCATCACTTGATTGTAGGATTGAAAAGCATGATGACAATCCATTTACTAATTTCGCATACCTACCTCACAGGTCTGTGAGGACTGATGTCATGTATTGATACTACTGTGCTGGAGGCCAGAGGAATGGTGACCTAGGAGCCAGTGGTCAGGTGGGACATGTGCCAGCTCTTTCCCTGGACTGTGTTGCCATCTTCACGCAAACCCATTCCTCTTGATTTGCATTCATAAGGCCTGAAAATTGCATGTGTGTGGGATCACTTTCATGGGAAATTGTGGTGGCAACTAATGTCTTCCTGTCCCTGGAATTGCACTTCCTTAGAATGCTGTTGTCCTGGGGGCCTGGTGTGTGTGAGTAAGGTTCAGTATTGGTAGGAATGGGTTCTCTTCAGAGGGTTTCTCTTCCTGGGGCAGCTGTCACATCAGCCATCCACTTGAGACAGGACACTGCAGGCTATCTGCAGGGACAATCTCCATAGAAGCCAGTGTGTCAGGTTCAGGGCCTAACTGTAGACTTTGTGAGTTCAACACTTGAATGAGATCTGGTTTGTCAAGTCTACTTCAGAGAAATATAAAGGGGTAATTACTTAAAGCAAGAAAGAATTCTTTTACACCCGAAGGCTCCTTTAAAATATTTTCTTATCAGAGCATTTTTATGGTTAGCTGGGTAATATAGAAACTGAGTAAAATATTAGCCCTTTTCCATGTGGAACATAAATAGGACAAGATAGCGCACCTTTGAAATCATCATACAAATTTTCAGAAACAGTGATACATAAAATGAGCTACATCTATACTTTGGAGGTGAGCAATTATGTTTGCATTTTATGACAGTGTTTTGAAAAAATAACCTTGTGATAGGAGATGAAATACATTTTCTTTTCAAAAGTAAGTTTACTTTGGCTAGCACATTTTATATTTACTAAGTCATTAGATTAAATTCAAAGTGGTTCCTGCTAATGAGACCTTGAAGAATTCTTAACTTTGATACCAGTGCAATTTTACTAAAAGTTGAGTGAAACTGTTTCAGAAATACTTGGACATAGATCTAGAGAACATACCATTGTATGTATTCTGAGGTGGTTTGAAATTCTTAAGTGATTCAATGTTGTGGCCTTTGTGAGATTTGGTACAGAAAGTATAAGCTTGATGTTATAGGAATCAGTATTATCTAGAAGGTCAACTTTTCTTTGGTCAGCTTAGATAGAATCCCATGTACCAAACAGAGGGACTGTGAAACTAGAGAGTAGGAAGGGGGAGCAGAGAAGACAGCTTCGAACACTAATTTGTTAATGTAATGCTGTTAATTGTATTTATACAGAAGACTACACAGGTCAGAAAAAAACAAAAAATGAGACAAATGACGCAGTAGTTTTATTACGTAGTTTGTTAGTTTGGATTTTGATGCCCAAGGTAAGCATGAGTTTGGACTCAGGTGTCGAAGCACCTTTCTGTGCTAAATCCTTGCTTACCTGGACTAGTGCCTTCTCTCTAGTAAAACAGATCCAATGTGCACTTTTCATCTTCCTCAAATATTCCTGCATCTTCCCAAGGCTGCTCGTGTCACTGCATTTGAATTTAGCCAGCGAGGAGGCTGTGACACTATGGTGATTTCATCTTGACTCATGTGTCACCTGATATGCCAGGGGTTTAGTCTAACCTGGGAGGGTCTTCTGTGCAAGTCTGTTGCTTACACTGGGGTCTGAGACAGGTGGGCAGGTGAGGTAACAAAGATATAGCTTGTATTGTTTAGAACAGCCTAAGTTCTCCCCCACACTTCCTTGAGATGCACTGCTTCAAACCACCATGCTCATCAGTTCTGACTACAGCCCTATATATGCCAGCAGCGTGAAAAGTCAGGCTGCCATTTTTGGGTACTTTGGGTAAAGCCTCAGTGTCTATTTTAAAGATTAGTTATTCTCCTTAGGAGGGCTTTTTGTGGTGGTCATCAAAATTGGTCCATGGACAACTTAAAATTCCCCCCATGGCTACTGCAGTGATTTCAGTATTTTCAAGTACAGATTTAAACTCAACTTTCAAGTTCAGTCCAGGAGTTAATTAGGAACAATAAACCTGACAACTATAAACAGGGTTGACTATTAAAAAAAAAAAAACCCAAAACATCGAATGGCACTTTATGTGTTAGGAAAAAATGATTCTCATTTTTGCTTTCCACTCTTACGGCAAAGTTCCTTTCTTCAGTTTTCATTTGCTCATTTAATATGGGAAACTTACTTGTAGAACATGAAGATTTGTACTTAATTCCAAAAATGTGTCTAATATGGGGGCATATGAACAGATTTTAGTAAAATTAATTACCACGGAGTATTCTTAATATTAGGAACACTGGGAAAAGAGAAAGGAAAAGAGTGGCCCCTGCACAGTCACAGGTGGGCAGGAAAGCCGCCGCTGCTGCTCTGCCAACAGCACCTCAGTGCTCACGGAGGTGCTGGGGAGGACCCTCGTGGTCGTCCCAGAGGAGGTGCATGCTGAGTGTCCATGACAGGTCTAACTGGGTCTCCCCTGACCTTTGCGATGCTCCTGGTCTCAGCTCTGTCACATACTTGATGTCCACAGGGGATTCAGACCTAACAACCTTGGAGATTTTTCATGAAAAAAACTGATGTGAGAACAGAGATGAAGCTGTCAGACTAATAAATCTGGAGGTCTCAACTGTATTAAAAAAAAAAATGATACAAATAAAAATTTCCCTTGCTAACTCACCTGCAAGGGTAATTATTTTAGATCTTACTGAAAACCAGTAATCAACTCTTAGCAGAGCTATGTATTGCAAATTCACATGTATAAAATAAGTTGAAGCACTTTCTACCAACAAAATTTGGTTCTTCTTTAAATCTGTTAAGAGGTTTGCATATATGAAAACCTCAAGTTCAAGGTGAGTCAATTTCTTAGGTCTATTTTGAAACAAAATATTTTTAAGATTTGACACATTTCTTTAAAAGTTGCTAAAATCTTTAAAAACTGTGATAATGGTTATGTGAAGGAAATGATAAAAACTTATCATTTAGTACCTGAAAACATTTATGGGGCACTTGTTATATGATATACACAGGTCTCATTGCCTCATGCATTCATATTTACTGCTTTAAATAACTGCTCTTATCTTGGTTATCTGTGGAAAACCAGGGTAGAGAAGCAAACTTTGCTCAAGGTCACCTGGGGAGTAAGCGACAGAATTGAACATAGGCAGTTGAAGTTCAGTGCTGAACATAATCAGGCAGCTAAACTAGTTAAATACATTTAGACTGCAGAATCCATCACAGTGACCCAACTGGCTGCTCTGGTTTGAAGGGGCCCTCCTGATTTCCAGAACACCCCTGGAGACACTGTAATGACGTGGAAGCCTGCTAGGCTGGCACTGTTCCTGCCACAGGACTGGCTGCCAGAGTCAGCTGTTTTTAGCCAAGTCTTAGGGCATAGCAATGATAGGTGAGCTGTAGCTGCCCTCGAGTTCCTTGTCAGCTTCGATGGGACTGCATGAACCTTTCCAGAACAGGCAGAAAGAAACAGATGACAGTATCACTCCTGCCCTCCCATTCTAGGCTCATCAGCTAGTGCCGCCACCTCCTGTCACTTACTGTTTCCCTAGCTGTTCTGTAACAGTAGAGTAAGTTCCTTAGAAACGTACCCCTGTAAAATTCTCACCCCTTTTATGCACTGATACCTCCCTGTGGTATTCTATAGTGTGGAACATGTGCCACTTATTCTTTATAGCTCCAAAGTTGCTAGAATTTTGGCTCCCATGGCAGGTCATAGATGTGTGTCTATGATGTATGAACTTCTTAACAGCCATTTTTTGTTGCTTTGGAGTTAAGAATCCTATACACTGGTGGGACCACTGGTGAGTTTTCTTTATGGGAAGAGCAAAGGTATGATAATGCTAGCCCAGAGCAACATCCATCTATCTGCACAATCTGTGTGGCTGAATTTTACTTTTTTCAATGTTGGGTGTTTGTATGCCATGCTTACTGGTCCTATACCTTTATTATTCAGTGGTCCCAGGGCTTGTTGGCTACCTATGATCTGTCACTATTTTTGGATGAATGCTTTATACCAAAAGCAGGCTTTTAAAATTTGGGCTTTTATACAAATGGTTGTTTGCTACTGTGTGAAAGCAGGTTTTGAGATCCACTTTCCATCCTTCCAAGTATACTACTTCTTTGCTGTATACCTTTAACATATATTGAACTGTTGCAGAAAAAATTTTAATGCACCATAAGCTAAATAAAGTGTTTTCCATAATTTTGCTTTAAAAAATGTATTTGTTGGGAGTTAAGAATAAGATTTAAGTGTAAGAACTTGGAGTAAATGGGTAAAGAAGTCAATGTTCCTGCGCCTTCTGAATTCTGTTAGGTTTGTCAAGTTTAAGAATTTGGTGAAAACGTTAGACCTTTCCTAGAGTTAAGAATCTGATGTAAGCAGCAACAATTAAAGTTAGCTAATGTCACATGTGATTTATGACCACAGGCTCTGTGTAGTCTAATTGTGGCCCACAAATACAGAAGACCTGGTAGGTAGCGCATACTTTTTTGGGTAGATTTTGTGTAATTACCCATTCTGGCTCCATTACTATGATACCCCATCAGGCGTACAGAGATAAATATACGACAGAAAATGAAAAAGCCTGTAAGAATATGAAAGCACTTCATGGGGTTGAGGGGAAGATAGGACAAGCCTGGCAAACAGGCTCAAACGAAAATCCTTTACTCTAGAACTGTTGGCATAATGGGGATTAAAAATGAAAATCCTTTCACTGTGATTTTGTTTTACTCTGGAGGTTCTCTTTAAGGTTCCTTAAGTCTTGGAATGATCACCTCCTTTGGACTGGAAGTTAGATTCTGCTTTTTGCTTCTGGAGAAAATGGATCAAGGACCTTCCCACTGATTCAAAGGATTTAAGAAAAAGTTTGGGTAACATTTTTGCTAAAATTTCCCTTTGGGATTTTTTTTTTTTGTGTGTGAAAAAAGAGGAATTATTTTAAGGAGTTAAATGACTTTGAAGTTATGTGGTAAAGTAATTTTTCAGGTAATTTCTAACACTTTGTAACTTTAAATACCCAAAGTAAAGAGAGCCTGGGCTTCATTTGCTGAGGAGAGGGGGACTGAAGAGGCTGTATGGTCAGTGGTATATTTTTAGTGTCGAGAGAGGAGCAGTTAATTAAGGAATTGGTTCAGTAACTTTGGTGGTAAATAGACAATAAGTATAACTAGATTGTACAGAAAGCGGGTAGCTTTGCCTATGACATTGACTACACATTCTCTTCTGGTTTGTTCTGGAGTGAACTGGGAATAGAAAAATACAGGTGAAATGACTCTGTGTCCACCTTCCTTGCCTTTTCACTCTTATGGCTCCTATAGCCCGGGAAGGTCACACACAGGGTCATTTCCACAGTCATGGGTTTCCAGCTCTTAAGCTTATATAGGTCTATTTATTTCACTTTGTACAGAATAAGTAGACTATATATAAAGCTTAACAGAATTAAAAGTGATAAATCCCCAGTATTTTAAAAATAATTCTGTTCTATGAAAAATCATACACACCATTTACACTAAAAAATATAATGCAGCATAGCAAAAAATGGCTACTTTTTTATTTTAATGAGAAACATCTGAGTTGTACAGACCACAAAATGCTTCAAGTTGCTGTACCATAGCCCCCCACCCTGCCCATTGCCAAACAGTTAAACAAAACCTGAAGCATTACTTTAAATGTGAAAAGTCTTATAAAATTAACTTACAAAAAACATTGCTATCAAGTCCATAGTTTGGCATTTACTGTACATTAATCAAAAGCTCAAGCTAAAATCTGATTTTTTTAAAAAATGAAAGTTTATATTATTCATAGATTTAGCGCTGTTAAAAAATATGCACAAATAATCACATCCATGCAATATAATTTCTTTAAAAATTCAAAGCAGTATAAAAGAGCAGACTGAAGTACTGAACAGAATGGTCTTTAACCCTCAGCTCAAAATTACTAGCTGATTGGAATAAAATTTACTCTAAACATTTTAAATATGATTGTTTCAACTGATCAGCCAAGGGTGCATATGTGTTTCAGAACAATTTTTAAGGTGGAAATCTGCTAGCTTGTTTCTATAATATACATTAGGTGATGAACACTACCGTCCATTGACCATATTAGCTACATTGTAATGTTTTACAGATAAATTCACAAAGTGCTTGGCTTTTCAGGAAACTGCATTAAACAGGGATCCTGAAACCAATCAATTTTGCCAAAATGCCCCAGGGCCACTGTTGGACACATTCCCTCCCCTGGAGGAAAAGCATCCCGCAAAGCTGTCCTGGCAGAACTCTAGCCCAGCCCACAGGTAGGTGGGCCGGACAGGTAGTGCTGAGCCCTCTATGTGGGGGGTGGCCCGTTGGTGTACCTCAGCATGGGGTAGAAGGACCTGGCGAAGTTGTTGGCCTGAGTACAGCTGTAGTCTTCTTCGGAGGAGGGCAGCAGACAGGCCAGGAGCAGCAGCAGAAGAAGGAGCAGCTGCAGGGGCAGCGCTGCCCTCATCACCCGGGAGAGGAAGGAGCGCTGAGGCCTTGAGCTGCTGGGGTCTGTGAGGCCAGGAACCCTGCTAACAGGGGGTGGAGAGTTTAGGTTTTGCCTTCAGAACCTCCCACTAGTCTCATGCCTGACCTCCCCCACCCCAACCTGGCTTTCAATAAGACACCCAGGACAACCCCAGTGGTGACCCCATTTTTAAGTGTTAGAAGAGAAGCCTAGGTCTTTTCCAGATGAAAAAAGACAGTTTTTACAAGGCCCTCGATAGCATGTTGGCAGGACTAGAGAGGTGAGTGTGGGTCGGGGGCACTCAACCCTGTGACTATGAGGTCCTTACCTGCCATCTGTCTTGTTCTTGCCTTTCGTAGTCCTCGCTATTCCGAACTCCTAGGAAAAAATAATCCAGTTAGTTGAAGACAGTGAAAGCTAAAACTTCTGAAGCTATACACATTCCCAGGTGGTCTTCCTGGCAAACTTTTGAGGTTAGTGTAATACATTTGAGACTGAACTGAGATAAGAAATGATGTGTTAAGTGATTATGAATTTCACACTCCCGTGTGTCAATCTTTTAATGAAGAGATCAAGAAGCCCCTTCAGCATGGTGGAAGGATACTCCTTTCTCCCCCAAACAACTATAACCCCAGAGGAGGAGCCACTGAGTCGAAGACCCCTTTGTGGTAGGTGTCTAAAATGTATACTCTAGTTTTTAGGGTTTTTCCTCTTTAGAGTAAATCTCTTGCCTGACCGGCATGTTGAAGTAGAGCTTTGCTATTATGGAAATGTGTAGTGCGGTTTTGGAGTTACAACTTCAAAAGATAACCTGTGGTTTCTCACAGAATAAAGGGTTCTCACCTTCACTTGGGGAGCTGGCAGGGATGCTGCTGGAGGCTGAGCGCCAGAGTCTACCTCATCAAGGCCGGGTAGAGATGTGTCTGGGTTCTAAAATGCATACAATGGGTCAGATTGAGGGAACAGAAAGTTCTGAAAAGCCTCAGCACAAGACCATGTTTCCTATAGATTTTTCACTGGGCTCTTTACTCCTTACCCAGTTCAAGTCTTTCTTGAAGAGGGGCCTCTTTAACAGGGACATTTTCAGACAAGACGAAACAAACAAGGTAAGGCCAGTCTCTTGCACTATTAAACCCATAGTGAACACGGATGCATGTGGAGGGACAGTGTCCATGAGCAGCAGGTGTCAGCAGGAAGTACTGACTGTGGGAGGGGAGGCCGGTCCCATCCACTGAGCCTCCCTCCCTGGTCTGGGCGTGCCCTTTGAGTGGGGTCCCATTTAAAAAAAAAGAAGGTACAAGAGCACTGTTGAGAGAACTTGTGCTGTCACAGGAAGAAGTGAGGACACAAATATGTTTTGCACAAGGCTATGACAGCAATGACAGAGGAGTCTGGCTCCAGGCAGATGCCACTGTTACCTCCCTTTTACACATGACCACACAGCTAGAAAGGGCAGGACTCGACATTCCACTCAGACCCCCAAAACTGCTGGCCACTTTCAGGTTGAAAGGCCACCACTGACTCACCTGGCTTCCTTGCAAGGACGTTATATCTTGGGACACTTGCTCAAGTAGTTGCTTGAGTTTCTTCTCAATTACATGTACCTTTTCTTCTGCCTCAATGTAGTCTTCTTCATGCCCCTTAATCAGAAGGCTGTTTGAAATCTCTTGTAAGGAGTTTACTTGAGATTGATGGTCTATGAGCTCCTTTTTCAGTTGCTGAAGATAAAGGTGAAAGTTTCTTGTCAAAAGGGATGCGAGTGTGACCAGATGAGGCTTGCTCAGTGTCAAGACAACTCTGGGGCCTCTGTGTGGGTGGTGCAAAAGTTGAGGTAGGACATTCTACTTCTGCCTGTGTCCTCAAGCCTCGCATGTAGCTATCAAGTACTGTACACCCGACCTCTTTTTCATGCCTTCTCATTTAGGAGACATTGTGATGTTGGAAGAACTTTGGGCAAAGAAGTGAGGGGTACCCTGAAGACAACGTTGTCAACCACTATGTGAGAAATCCAAGTCCATGAACAACAACAGAGAGAGGGATGTCAGGTGAATCAGCTTGAATTCTTGCAGGTGGTTATCTTACTGTCCAATGCAATAGCCACTAGACAACACGCAGCTATTTCAATTTAAGTTAAAAATTAACAATTCAGATTCATAATAGCCACATTTCAAGAGCTAATAAGCTCCCTGTGGCTAGTAATTACCATAGTAGTTACTGCAGCTCTAGAACATTTTCTATGCCCCAGAACATTTACTTAATGGTGCTCTGGAGAACGGGGCTTTTGCAAAATCTTAGTATAGAATTTTTTTTAAAAAAAATCACCAGCACTTTGATTAAATGGAACCACCTACACTTGACTACATGAATGAAAATGTCACTTAAGTGCAGGTGAGAATATATGTCTAAGTCAAGTTAGTGAAGTAAATATGAAAATATAAGTCCTTACCACATAAGACTTCTGTTGTGGATACAGAAAACTTTATCATGGCTGTGGAGCAAATGGGTTCATGATAGTGCTCCCCAAATTAGCCATATTCACAAGGAAAATAATCCTTCTAATCAAATGGCCATCTGCCATTGCTAAACACCTATGACCCCAGTGCCTCATTGTTTTGAAGACCTTCTACTTTGGACCACAGCTGTTCCTCCCTGCACAGACTGTTTCAGAGCTAAAACTGGATGCTCAAGGAGACACCCGCTGGAATGTGAGGGCCCAACTCTCCATTGGGGTTATGGCAAACACCCTGGCATTGTTCCACAAACACGAGGCATGGCTCCTGACAAACTTGCCTCCGGACAGAGGCAGAGCCTCTTGAAAGATACTTACCAGGAGTTCTTCCTGACTTTCCAGAAGCTGGGGGTCTGCCTCTGGGCTAGTAACATGGGCCTTCTGCCTTCGGCTCTCGGCACTTGCTAACCACAGCAGCAAATTTTGACTCAACTGGTGGAAGTCCTGAAACAACAACACAGCAATGGGCTTTGAGAACCGCAAAAGGAAGCAGCTTGCTGCCCTTCTTATTCAGTTAGTAAGGCAGCCAGATTAATACCTGGTGAAAAGTGACAACAAGAAAGGGATGGGATGAGGGGACATGGTTCAGAATGTCCCAGCTGATATATTACATGGGAAGACCACACACATTTTTCAACAAACTGCGGAATTCAGTGGTTAAGACTGATGACTCACAGGACAGCCTGTGCACAGGGCCAGGGTTCTCAGTCCCTAAGATGGGTCAGAGGGAGCACACACTGGAGTGTGCTGACTACTTACTGTGTCAGTGCTGGGCCAAGGTTAAATATATTCAGTCCTAAAACCAGTGAACTAGGCACTAAAATTGTTCCCATTTCTCATATGGGAAAACAGAGGCCTAGACTGTCCAATGATTAACTCAAAGCCATGCAGCTGCTAAACTGGGTTAAACTATTCCTGTTCCAGGGCCAGATCTTGTAAATTACTCTACTGTCTGGCTTTCCTGCAGGACAGTCAGGGTCATGTAAAGTGGCCTTTCCCACCTACTGGAATGCTTGCAGAGAGCAGAAGACATAGGCCAAACATCATGTCCCTGAGAGAGCTGTTCGGCCCCTTTGGAAACACATGGTAAAGCACATGTTTCCTAATACTAGTCATGGCTGGCTGTGCCAAAGCAGCCTGATGACGGTAAAAATATCTGCTTGTCCCACTCATGTGGACCTGGCTGTGCCTGGACTGGGCCTTGGCACTGGCTGTGGGCGTACCTGGCACTGCATGAGCGACTGCCGCAGGCTCTCTCTCCAGCGCTCCACCGCACCCTGCACCGCGTCCCAGCGGAGGCTCAGCCGGCCCAGTCTGCTGCGGAGCTCCTGGGATTCAGTGCTTTCGGCTTGCAGAAATTCCTTGCTGTTCACGTTGACAGAGGCCACTAAAGCCTTGTAGATGTCAAAGGCTTTTAGTATCTCCTACCACAGAGGGAAAAGAGAGGTTTAGGCACTCTGAGAACAGTGTCGTGGAGCTCATTCTGAGCCTCTGCAGGGAGTGGCTCTGCCAAATGCTGTTCCAAGCTGTGGCCACGGAAACAAGAGTGACCTCGCCTGTCACTGGCTGGGAAGCATCAGAGGAGGGAGCTGCCCTACAAGGTCAGTGAACCTGACCAGCCATAGGGCCTGTCTCCTGACAGGTTGATTCCATCAGAGGTATGAAGAGACCATGCTGACCTCTGGTTGGCTTAATATTTCTGGACTGGATTACAAGTTTTCTCCATAGAAAGTATATGCAGTTACCTAGCATTTTGCTCCCAGATACCACAGAAGTGCTGTTTCATAGGATGAATGGTAAATGCACAAAGTAAAAAGAACAAAGGATCCCTGTATACGCCAAAACCCGTCCTGGTTAGGAGCCTAGGCTTGTCGGGGCATCCTAACTGCCCTTGTTCCCTGGTCAGTTTTAAAGTGGTGAGGGCTATGTAGGTGACAAATCCTAACCATGTGACTGGGTATCCAGCTCAGTACACTGAATGAATGTATCAGCTGGTCCCACAATCCACTACACAGCCTGGAAGAGCACTTAGGGGTGCTGTTGAAATCTTTCCAGGACCGTGCATCAAAACCACACCCCAAGTTTTGGGATCATTTGTACGTGCTCTGCGTCTGGGTCTTTGTTGTAGACGTGACATGGAAGAGGCTCCACACACCATTTGCAAGTTGCCAGTTTCTCTCCTGACAGATCAGACTAGTTCAGTGGAGCAATGCATTTGCATGCACATAGTGAATTCGTCTTCCCTTCCACGCTTCTCACTCACCTTCAGTCTCTTCACTTGGAGTCCCATTTCCTGCACATCAGAGGGAGGCTCTGCCATTTTTAGTGTTTCCAGCTCTGCTTCAGTTTTCTTCAGCCACGTGTCAATGTCACTGATTTCAGAGTTCAACTGCTGAAGGTTTTGTTTTATTCTGAGTTTACTGTGGAGTTCTTGTGCTTGGATCAGCTCCCATCTTTCAAAGGCACCTGGAAGAAAAAGGCCATTAATTAGTGTAAAACAATACTGCAAACAGATTTCTCTGCCTCCAAATAATGCAGGGTCCCGGAGATAAGAGTTTCAGCTATGCCCTTTGCAGAAGCCTCTGGGTTTGGGAGTTATCGCTTCCCCAGGAATAGCACATTTCCCTCACTCTGGTTCAAGGCTGGGGTGAGCACACTCCCACAGGGCTGGAATGAGGTAGAGGCTATGCTGGAAAACCAACGTGTTGCCAGTATGCACTGTGGTCCAAGTTCAACAGTTCACTTCACCCAGTTTCTAAGGCACTTCCTCCATCAATCTGATCAGGTCAGTATGACCAGCTTGACTGTAGTGACTCCTTTCACAGTGACTGGCCCAGTGAGGAGACACCTGACACAAGTCTTGATCATCACTTTCATGTGTGATCATTTCCTACAAATGAAGTCATGAATGCACATCACTCTATGGGGCCCATGTTGTCTGTATTTACAGAATAGTTTCAAGAGTAAACAGCCCAGGAAATGTTTTGGGATACGGTTCAGCGGATTATAAAATGACACCAGCTACTATAGGGTCAGGTAGTGGATTTTAGGCAAATTATACAGTTGATAGTTGATCAACTAAGAGTTCTTAATGTCCTACCATTCAGTGATTTAAACTATATCCCTGTCAACACTGGAAACCAGAATTTATTGCTACCACTTTCCCCGCCTACTTGAACTGTACCTGACTGCTGCCCAGTTAGGCTGGCCAGGACACCGTCTTCCTGTCGTGAGCTGCCATTCAAGATGTGGGGCTCTTCTTTGCCACCGTCAGTGCCTGGAGCTAATAGCAGCTTTACCTGGAATAAGCCAATTTTTCAGTTACCAGCTATCAACTTCAAAGTTGGTTTGAACCATTATATTGGTTCATATTATCAGGTGAGAAATGAATAATCTGGGTGGTCCTTTTCCTTCAGAGGGTGACTGTCAGTAATGCAGAGGTGCTCTAGGGCATGGATGGCACCTAAAGGCAGGCAGAGCTGATGGTGCAAACAAAGCCTCAGCAAGGATGAGGAAGGGAAGAAGATGAGGTGTCAATCATGGGGATAAAACCGCCTGACTTAATTCACAGACTTCTGAATACTCTTTAGAAGAACCACACAAAAAGAGTAGAAAGACTCAGCAGAATTGCACGGTGTTGGCGCTTTCATATTTGCAACATTTTACAAAATTTTAGTTATCCCAGTCACTAAGCAGAGTTGGCTGGCATCACCGTCATCAGAATCAGAAGCACATAGAGGATAAATCCACCTCCAAGGGTAGTTCATAGTCATGTACTTATCCTTCTTGCGCATACTGACTCTTGTTATCACAGAGCTGATTGGGCTTTCCAAAAATAAACATATTCTTTTTAGAAACTCTATGCCTACATTGGATAGTGTCCATATAATATCCTTGTGTGGAATGCAAAAAATACAAAACCCTTCATTTTTTGTGGTGACATGGTTCATCATTTCAGATACAAAGAAGTTTTGAGTTTTTGCAACTGGCCAGGTGAAGGACACAGTCACCACAAAGGCCAGACTGTGTGGCCCTAGAGGTAATGCAAGGCTCAGGTGCTGGGGTCTCTCCCCTGATGCTGGCACATCTTACTCCGCACCATAGAAAAATGACTACTTGCTAAACAAGAAGAAAAGTTTCTGAGTTGGGCAAGGAAAAGCCATTATCAAATGATCTGGGTCTGACCATGTACAGGCAGACTCTTCTCAAGTTATCTAGCAATATTCTCTCCCAGAGCCAGAGGATACTCTGTGGGTTTATCCAGTCGGGTGTACGTTGCTTGTCAGAAGGAACTCTGTGACGGCACTAACCATATGCAAGCCATTTTAATTTTAACCTGCTCGTCACTAATTCTCTGTGCTGAGAACAATCTGTGACCAACACTAAACCCTAGGCTGGCTGGCTGCCCCCCAACAGCTGTCACGCCAGGGAGCCAAGGCTTCATGTTGCCTGAGGAAAATGTAACGAAGAAGGGAGTGTCACTGCTATAAGCAGGAAAAAAACAGCATTAACAGGCTCGATGTTGGTCACTTCTGAGGGCCTTCTTAATTAGGATACACAGGTGTGAAGGTATGTCTGTCCTCTTGTAAGCATCCCTCATGAGGATAAAGTGCTTATGGCCCCAGAGCCTATCACTGGCATGCCAAGGAATCAAACCCCTGTCTGCCACAGCACAAACTGACTATGAAGTCACACTTTTGTAATAGAATGTGTGGTCAAAAGGAAACCACAACAAAGCTTTGGGGGATCAGGAAAGCCTCTACTTGCATGGACTATGGAAACAGCAGAGATGTATTATGTCCATTTACATACAAAGATGGTGTCAGGCCAGAAACCATAATTTAACTCTGGTCAGTCATGCAGGAGTTGCAACCAGGTGTGAACAGCTCAGTAGAGAGCCTGGCACCATGGGCAAACTGACTCAAAATGTGCCTAGGCAGCAAGCACACTCTACACACCAAAATCTTAAAAAATTTTAACTATGACTGATACACTTGAATTATATTCTCAGTGGTGTCAAGACTTACATAGGCAGGCTTATAAGGGGTGCTGGAATCTGGGGGGATGGGCCGTACATTCCTATCACCTCCCATCGGTTTGTAGCGATGCTTGGGACAGGAAGGGCTGTCAGGAACGTGCCACGAGGGGCCCTCAGAAATGGATTTACCTGCAACGAAAAGGAGCAAGTGACAGTCCATACCTTCTAACCAAAGATCCATATTTACTGACAAAAATGGGTCATGGGTAACATGGCATCAGGTTATAGTATGAGTTCTGCAGCTTTCCTTGCAAAGCATGCATGTTTGCAAAATGTCATTATGTCCCAGAAGGGAATGGAATGAGTCATGCAACTGAGCCACACTGGGCCTCTGCTAGATGGGTGCACGATGGAGCACAACAAACAGGATTTGCTGCGGGATGAGTGGTGTGTTGGAGCTGGGGTCTCTGGTGGTGGGGACACTGGGCAGCCAGGCCAGGAGCCAAGAGGACTGAAGGCCTGTGAGGAGTAGGGGGAACAAGGAAGTGAGCATGAGGATGGGCTAGGGGAGCCAAGGGTTACTTGAGACTCTACCCCAGCGCTGCAGATGGGGAAAAGGCAGGGAATAAAAGAGCCACCAGTCAAGGAAAGGTTTCTTCTCCTGCAGCAAATATAACAGTACCTCTTAACCCTCCCACCACCGTCCCCATTCCCGCTATCCTCCCAGGAAATCACCATAAGCAAGGAAACCATTTCAAACCAAGCCACCATGAAGAAAGCTTGGCCAGTGCCAAAAAGATTTTGGTTAGATGGAGGGAAAATAAAAATTAAAAAGGCATCATGAAAAAAATTCCCTTCTGCACAGGCCTACGGGGTGGCGCTGCGGCTGCTCTGGTCGGGGGCTGGGAAGGAGCACGCGGGAATGTGTGAGTACAGCAATGTCAATACACCATGACACGAGGACCGAGGCGCATGGTGTCACAGAAGGCAGAGGTCAGACATGACATGGGAGCGAGGTTTAGATGCAGTGTGCGCCACGGGATGCCGCCATGTCGAGACACATGCATGGGCAGGGGCCTACCAGAAGACGCTCTCAAAGTTTTTGTGGTCATTTTAAGATATGCCTCAGGATTTTCAGGGATTTCTATATCTGAAAAAGAATAATGTCATTTTCCTCACTGCAGGCATCTGTACATGAATGAATGCCCAAGTATTAAGTTAAAACAGTAGAAATGTCAGCTGGAAGGAGAAAAGTAACTGCCTTTTATCTGTTTTATTAAAATGCTTTACCAAAAACAGGATTTTTTCAGCCGACTAACTCTGGCTGTTTGAGGTAGCATAGGGAATGGGAGTGCAGACAAAGGAGACAATTTACTGATACTCTGAAAAACTCAGTTGAAGAGTTCACGACGAGCCCCCCAAACAGCCAGAGGTATCAGTGAATGGTCTTAATATCCCAAACATGAATTTTGTCTCATTTTTCTTTTCATTCTGCCTGTAATCATTGTGAATAAACTCTAGGGTCAGTTGCATGTGGGCAGAATGGAACTTAAGAAGTCACAGGATGACTGCGTTAGTCATAAGCTGCACTCTTGATCACTGAGAGTTGGCGTGTTGCTAACGCCCTCAAATAACAGCCAAGTGGGTCCATTTAAAGGGTTCTGGAAATCTGGGCTGTTACCTGACAGTGCACTGTAGAATGGGCCTTCCTCATCTTCTTCATGAGAGGACGAGCCCCCCACATCACCTGTGTGATCCCATTCTAGGGGGATGGAGTCCACACTGACGGGAGTCTCACAGCCAGACCGCTCTGGCCCTGGAGCAGGGGGCACCAGCTGGCAGAGGGACTGAGGGGATGAGGGCTCCTCACTCGCTCTCCTTTTCCGCCATGAGTCAGTCTGGATCTCCCGGGGGTCTTCCATGTCTGTTTCATTCTCAGAGGCCTCCTTCTCATCTTCCAAGCCCTAAAATGGGAGGATGCAGGTTTCGGAATTAGCCAATCGCAGCCTACTGTGTTTGTAGGAGCTGGTCCTGCAGTTCCTAAATGGCCACCATGAGTATATCTGAGGCCATTTTAAAAAGAATCAAATTCTCAAGTCCTGCCTAGGTATTCCAATTTGGATGACCTAATGGGGGGTGGGGGTGGGCATCTAAAATCTATTTTCCACAAACTCCAGCTTTGTCCCTAGAAATAAAAAATTTGATAAACAACTTTATGCAGAAGAAAATACAAGCCAAAGTTTCACTGATGAGAAATGACAGCTTCCTTCAAAATTAGAAAATTAAAATCACAAATTTTTTAAGACCATTCCACTATTCTGGATAAAATTCACAACTTTAAGGACCAGGTGAGCCAGTTCTTTCTCTCTCAACCTCCAATTTCAGTGCTCAGCATAGATAACCTTACTCCCATGTTGTAATGCCTCTGTCCACCTAGGAGAAACAGCTAGACAGTGCTATATTTAGAAATAAAGGAATATGGGGTAAATTTTGAGGCTATGTCTGATGAAACAATGGCACTGAGTCAATTGGAGGGCCCCTCCCCCCCCCCAAAAAAAAACACAATGCAACCAGCCATGTTGGTCAGTGCCCCTCAGAGAGCTGCAGGCTCAGAGGTGCAGTGAGCCTTCAATAATGGCATTATCTCACCAAAGGTTTCCCAAAGTCAGCTTCAGAGTTTCTTTTGAAAGCTGGTGCTTTCAATGCCTCAAGGAGGAGAACAAAGTACTAATAAAGCCACAAATATAAAAGCTCCTAGATCTGAGCTGTGCCCCCAAGTCACAACTGTAAGCAGGGCCAGATGTTATGGAAGTTTTTTAGGGGTCCTGGCACAGGTGGAACAGGTAGAAAAATCTGGTCAGAACCAACTGCGGCAGCCAGAGGTCTCCGGGCGCCCCCTTACCGCAGCGGGCGAGGTCAGCCGCCGGTGGAAGCGTGAGACCCTGCCGAACACTTCCTGGCAGTAGCGGTGCAGCTCCTCCAGCTCGTCTTCAATCAGCACAGCATCCAGGGGCTCGCTCTTCTGAATGAGCTGCTCCCCGAAAACAATCAGCTGATCAATCTTGTTGGTATTGAGTGTGATTTCCTGTTGGAAACCCTGTTTAGTGTGTAAAAAAAAAAAAAAAGGATTTCAAAGAAAGAATATGTTCCTGTGGAATCAATGTCTGTTTCTTACGGCAGGACCACAGAGAAATCACCAAAGGCGATTATTGCTTTGTTCCTTTCTCCTCATACTTTAGCTTCATCCGTTTCTGACAAAGTGACAATAAAGATTTAATAACTTAAAACAACTGGACATACTGTTTTTCTCCCTGTTTCGGGCACCATCTTTTCCAAATAAAATATTTCTGCAAATTTGACATGGCAGGACACTTACTACTATTGGATGTGAGGGAGAGAACTTATCTTACTGACACTTGGTGGAGAGAATTTCCCACAGTAAATCACCAATGAGCTTTTTATTTCTACTGATACAACATTACTCTTCTAAAATCTAGTGAAAGAGGGAATTAAGTGCAGCGAGTGTTGCACAGATATTCTAATTATGGGAAAAGGGGGGCTCTTGCCTCCCTTCATGCCTCTCTCTTCCTGTTGCTCCAACATACTGCATTTGGCCCAAGTGCAGGAGAAACAGCTCCTTACCAACTGTCTGAACCTGCAGTGTGTGCCTCCCTGGGTGGTTATAAATGACAAGGAACAAATGGTCTGTTCACTGACCACAGGGAATAGTATCCTTGCTTGTGACCGCCCAGCCATATGCCCAGCTTCACACGCAGCCTGGCTCTTTAATGAGGCACGAATCTGTTCTTAGAGTAGCAGGTGAGATTGTACATGGCCAACCCTGCAAAGGTATGTTCTTTTACCAGGAGCTAAGGAAATGGCCTTACATTCAGCTGCCGCATCTTGTCATCAGCGTCACTCTCTGAGAAGTGCTCCACGTTGGTCAGCTGTAGGTCCATCTCTGTGAGCCACACCAGAATGCTCTCCCTGGTCCCCTCGAATTCTTCCCTTTGGTTGGTAAAATGCTGTGAAAGGCAAGGAAATCACATTTGTGATGATATCAGATAGAGAGCAAGGCTACTTTTGGCTAAAAGGAATGTGTGGCCAGGGAGAAACCTGTCCACTGAGGCACACTACAAGACATTTGGGTGGCCACGCTGGGCCAGACACTTGGGGTGGGTCCTGGTTGCGTGACATCAAAGCTGCCTCCCGCCCCCAACTTCTCTGAGCATCCTGTGCTGCAAGTGAGGGTGTGGGAAGTTGACAACAATGTCTGAGGTCCTTTCAGCATTTGGAATTCTGTAGTTCTCTAGTATAAGTGGGTGATTTTCCTAAATTGTCCTTCGAGGGACCCCCATGATGGTCCAAACATTCACCTCTTTTTACCCATTAGGCATCTACAGAAGCTTTTTTATATATATAGAAGCGTTAAAAGTAGCTGCAGGATGGAAAAGTACTGTCCTCTAGACTGAGCCCTGCCTCGCACCTCTTTTGCTTGCACTTAAGTAATTCTGAATGTGTTTCCCAGAGAAGGACCCAGAGAGAATTTGTCACCTTTACTTAAGGATGCTGCTCAGGTTACCACCTCATAGAAAGGCAGCTGATTTTCAGAAAAATGGACCCTTCAGTGCTAAATGAAGATCTAGACTCTAACAGTTAAATCAACTGTGGATCAAGAAATTAATGCGAAGGGGTTGTCTGAAAGGCTAATTGATTTCTCTTGAGAGGGTTTAGACAAAGAAAAAGCCAGAATTCTTGAAGTATTCAGACTTGGGAACAGGATCAGGGATTAAAATTACTTCCTGCAGCCAGTACCATACGGATCCTGTCAGTTTATACCTGGACTCACAAAATCCAGGTGAAACTGAAAGCGACAGAAACTGAAAGAGAATTGCAGACATTAAAAAAGCCAAACAATCTCTGAGGTGAGCTGTGTTCTGAAACTCAAAGGGTCATTGCTGTCCCTAAGCCCCAAATGCTGAGGGGGCTCTATCCACACCCTTCGCTGCAAGAACCAAGAGGACACACAACCCTGACAGACGGGCAGAGCAGGCCTCTTTTCAGACTTGGCGATGGCGGCACCCCAGCCCTGGGGGTGGTCTCCGAGCTGGCAGACACACACCCCTCCTGGGGTCACCACCGTGTGACTTAGAGGTGCTTGGTAACATATCACACAGAAAGGTGCTGCCTCAGAAATCTGCTGTTGGCCCAACGCTTCTTTAAAAACATGGGGCTGACACAGGGCTGTGCTGGTGGAACAGTGAGGCGGCTCGGGCCTTCACTGAGACCACCCAGCCACGGCTACTTCGCTCCAAGCCCACCAAGGCGTGGCCTCTCCCTGACCACACAGGCACCCGCTGGGGTCAAGGTGGTTACTCTGAGTCTGCGCAGGATGGCCGTGACCCGCTTCTGGAGGTCGTCCCAGCGCTGGTTGCCTTCGTGGGCCATCTGCTTCAGCTTGCTGGCCGCGTCGGTGCGGTTCTCCCGGGCCAGCCGCCGGTACTGCTTGTTGATGAGCTCCAGCTGAGTGAGCCGCTCGTGGATCTGCCGCTGAAAGGCCTGCGCCACAGAGGAGCCGTCAGTGCCAAGCAGGCGGCGTGCCAGGGCGCCCCCGCCCAGCCCTGAGTCCCTGCTTCAAGTGGTGGGTCCCCAAACCGAATGGCGGCCCAGGGCTCACTTCAGCTGTTCTGATCTAGTGAGAGGCCAGGCTTCCCAGTTCAGGGCCTGGCAGCTGGCAGCAATGGGCAATGCCTTGCAAAGCTCTCTGAGTGGCGCTGGCAGGTGATGGACGGGGTGGCCCCGGCTGGAGGCAGGGGAGGCCAGCCAGGCAGGGGCCACCCGTAGCCTCCTGGCATCAGGGGCACTGGAAGGGAGGGGCTTTACCTCAAACCTCTTCAGCTCTTCTTTGGCATTTGTGTACAAGACCTCCGAGGAATTCGGGTAGGCCGCCGTCCTCTCAGCTGACTTGAGCCAGTCCTCAAAGCGGGAGTAATCATCCAAAAACTTCTGCCACAGGCGCCATGTCTCCTCAATTCTGACCGGAGGAAGCATCTTACTGTCAGCTGGCTGTTTCAACCATGAGCTTCCTTCTCTCCCTCCCTTGACGGGCCTCATTCCCCACCCACCCTGCACTGCCACTGTGGAGGGGGACAGTCCTTGCTCTCCCTTCTAGGAAGTCAGGAGGGACATGGCTCTCCCCAAGGCACCAAGCACAGATGTCAGCAGCGGGAGGGTGGAGGGGGACACAGAGGATGGCGGGCAGCCATAACCAAGCTCTGAGGCCCGGGAAGCTGGGAAAGGCATCATCCCCATGATATTTTTCTCGACTGATTAATAAACAGTGGTCACAACTACTGAGACTTCTCTGTCTTCGAAGAGAAGTGAAGAGAAGACGGTTTCTGTGATTAGGGAGAAGGGAGCCCCGGTTGTGCTGGCCACACTAGACACAAGGGCAGCACAGGCCTTACTTCATCCGCCGCTCCATGGACATAGTGCAGATGTTTCTCCAGCGCCTGTCCAGGCTCCTGGTGGTCTGCTGAATGGAGTCGCACTCGGTCTCGTTGGCACAGGCGTCGGAGTCGTGCAGCAGCACATCGCAGATGTTAAACACAGACTCCACGCCTGCGCTGTGCTGCTCGATGTCCCTCTGCAGGTCCTGCGGCAAGAGAGAAAAGCACCTTGAGGCAGTGATGGTGGGTGGCCGGCATCCCAGGCCTCTTCCACACCCCCCAGGACGCCCATGTCTTCCAGACCAGGGGCCACAGTCCTGGGGGCATTTGCACCTTGGAGTCAGCACTCCAGACCGAGTCCCTCTCATCTTTGTGACCTGAGACCTGGCATGGTGCCTGCACACTGGCACTGAAGGGGGATCATTAGTTTGCTGACTCTGTGAGGGGTAGGAATAGCAGGGGGCACCCTCTCCCAAGAGCTCCCCACCCTTGGAAACTGGCTGAGTCTCTTCACGGGAACCTAAAACTTCAGTAGCAGGAACTCAACTTTTTATAGGTCACGGAATCCTTAAGCCTACGAAGTCATTTGTGCTGCTCTTTCCTGCCTTCCCCTCTCCCCACCAATGGTGTGTGTAGTGAGGTGTTCACAGCTTCCCCCACAAGCCCTGCCTGGGGAGGCAGAGGGGGGGAGTGGTCCACAGACCCAAAAGAAAAATCTGGGTGTGGTGATTCTACTCCCTCAGCAGATGGGGGGTCCAGTCAAGGCTGAGAGGCCAAGGATGGAGTGGAGGGTGGGCTGGGTGTCCCTGGGCTCTTATCCTCTGATGCTGACTGTGATGTGGTTCCCTGAATCAGGGCAAAGCGGTTTCACAATGAGAAAATGATGCATCATTATGGGGTAAAATGGAAAACCTATTTAAGCGCGAACACAGCACTTTCACTGATCATGCAGAGAAAATTTCCTCTGCAGCCACTGTGGCTGCAGGTGGGGTGGGGGTGAGATGAGGGTCTGTTCTGCCATTCTGGATGAGTCAGGGTTCTCCCAATAGCCCCATCCTGTGGAAAGTCATGAGACCACTGGCTTTGAAGACACAGAATGGGGCTGTGAGCCAAGACATTCAGGTCACCTCTGCAAGTTAGAGAGAGCAAAGAAATGGATTCTCCACCAGCGTTTACAGCAAGGAACACTGTCCTGACAGCCCTTGACTCCAGCCTTGTGTCAGACTTCCCACCCCAGAACTGTAAGAAATATATTTGTTAAGCTGCTAACTTGGTGGTAATTTGCAACAGGAGCAACAGAAAACTAATACAACATCTAATTTCTTTACACTGACAGTAGTCCTGAACCAAAGCTGTAATTTTTCGTTTATAACCAAATCTTTCTGTAGAGGAAAACTTCACATCATTTAGGTTGAAATTATGCAGTGCCAGAAGTCTGGCAGCTGCTCCAAATCGTATCCTCTTGGGAATTAATTGCCTGCAACTTAAAGGTGTTTTGTCACACTTCAGATTTTTTAAAGGTTAATAGGTATTATCAGCCCCGACAAATGTGCTCAGTGTTGTCTACTACCTGAAGGGCTGGCCACTCAGGGTGAACAGTTATTTGCAAGGCCTGGTCTACGAAAGATTACCTAAGAAATTCATTCAAAAAGATCAAACTGGCAAAGAAAACTGATAGTGTCCAAGAGCTATACTCCCTTGAGAAGGCCATCAGTGCCCATTAACATGGCACTTATCTCCATATCATTCATCTGTCTACAAAGCAGAGACAGGATTCATATGACCTCAAGGAAAAAAGACATAGGTTTCTCAGGCTAAGTAGAAAAACCAGTAATTTTATTAAGTAGCAGTACCAAATCATACTAGTTGGAAATCAGAGAGCTAGGTGTCATTTAAAGAGCAACCGTGGACAGGCTGAATAAAGGTTTAAGTCAAGAATAAGAGCAAACACTTTGCTCTACAGTGCAGTAGCCTGAGGTGTCCCTTAACACTAACTATTAACAGGACTGACCTGAGCGCAACAGCATTCATCAAGGGGAGCCTTGCTGATGGCCTGATGAAAGGCTCAGCTCCCAGTTACGACTCTAGGAGCTGGGAGACAAGGGTAATCTCCTTGGTGTGTTGACCGGCAGCGACATCAAGGCTTTGGAGGTGATGTGAACATAAAAGGCCTGACTCAGAATCTGATCCTAACCAGGTTGCTTAAGTGGGGAAACAGCTGCTCACAGGTCTGCAGAAACCGGTGACGGAAAACCACAGAAAGAAAATGTCAGCACACTATGTTCAAGACCAAGACAAGCTCAGGCAGCACAGGGCAGGAGCCTGTGTATGTGAACCCCTGAAAGACAGGACGGGGGCCCCACACATCAGTGGAACAGAAAGCGCCCCCGGGCTAGGTGGCAGGACTCAGCGGTGTCCAAACTGCGGAGTTTCCAGGGCTGGCCCATGGTGCAAAGCTGACACGTAAATGCACAGGAGAGGCTTCCTACACTATTGGTCAAGTAGGCTCACTACTACACATTTTTCTTGCGGAGCTCTATCACTCACACACACACCAGAGTATTGTCTCGTGAAAACTTTCTCCTGCCTTTCCAGGCCATATTTGTAAAAACAAAACAAAGGTCAAAGTAAAAAATAACAACAAACCAACACCCTCATTCAGCACTCAGGTCCTAAAAACCATCCAAACTATTTCACAAGAGGTCAAGGGTGGCATCAGAGGTAGAGGCCTGTCGTTTATCAGAACACTGACAGGCAGGTGGTCTGCCTGGGAAACAGCCACGAAACCCCAGCCTGTAAAAACACACAACCGACGCTGCAGGGTGAGAGTGAGTGACTGGGAGGCTCCCGTCTCAGGCCCACCTGTTGCTCAGCGAGCCTCTTCTGTATCTCCTGGTTGTCGCAGACATCATAGACCACAGGCTTTGACAGCTCGGACTCAATCCGAGCCAGCCAGGTGCGAAGGTTGCTCATGTTTTTGTCCAACTGCTGAATAAAAGCAAAGGTCTCCTTCAGCTTCTTCACCCTAAACGTATTTGTGGGGGGGGGGGGGAAAGAGGTGCAAAAAATAAGCCCGGTGTTTAGTGCTGAGAAGAATGCACCTGTCAGGGGGCTAAGGGAACATGTAATTTACCTAGATTTTTATTTCATAGCTGGAAGAACTCTAATGGTACCAGGAAGGGGTTTTCACAGAATGGGTGAAACTATTAGATGCTGTTCCAGCTGATTTTCAAGCAGACTGAATCACCCACTCATGCAAAGGTAAGGTCCTGTCATTCTCAGAGTGGACTCCCCTGACACCAAGTCCATTGATTTGGGGCTCCAAGGAAAGCAGAAATTTTCTCTTTTAGGTTAAAGTAACCACATCTGGTGGAGAAAAAGGAACTCTCCTGCACTGCTGGTGGGAATGCAAACTAGTACAACCACTATGGAAAACTCTTTGGAGGTTCCTCACACTGCTAAAAATGGAGCTTCCCTATGACCCAGCAATCCCACTCCTAGGTATCTACCCAAAAGACACAAAAACACTGATTCAAAAGATACCTGCACCCCATGTTTATTGCTGCTTTATTTACAATTGGGCATTTGGGCCCAAATGCCCAAAAGTGGATGGCTGGATTAAAAAGATGTGGTACATAAATGGGGGAGGGAGGGAGGGAAGTGCACAGGATTATGGTGATGGCACGTGGGTGACTTGGTGATGGGAAACCCATAGGGATTACAATTGAGGCGAAAAAAAAATGTACAAAATGATGTAAAAATAAACTGTTAAAAAAAAGATGTGGTACATATATACAATGGAATATTACTCAGCAACTAAAAAGATAAACACAGTCCTTTTGTAGCAACATGGATGGAGCTGGAAAAAGATCATGCTTAGTGAAATAAGCCAGAAAGAAAAGGAAAAATACCAGATGGTTTCACTTATAGCAGGAGTATAAAGGACCAGGGGAGAAAATAATAATAATATACAACTATATACCAGGAGGTGGAGTGGGGAATGGGATCAAAAATGGTGGGGGGAGGGCAATGCACTGGACCATAGTGATGGCAAACGGTTGACCTTGCGATGGGAAGCCCACGGGGATTACAACTGAGTTGGAAAAAGGCACAAAATGATGTAAAAATAAACTATTATAAAATAAAAAAAATAACCACATCTGACTTCTGGCTCTACCAACACTGCCTGCCCTGATGTGTCAAGGGCTCTACACGACTGGTCATTTGGTGGGATTGCATCTGAGGTGCCTTTCATGGCATCACCCCTCACCTTATGCAACTGCTCAACTTGTGCCAAAGCTCACCATGCTGACTGTGGCCACACACAGAACCAGCCCATTAGGAGACAGCTCTGCCGGCCAAAAAAAGCTATCTGTAAGCAGCTGGGGGTCCATCTGTCTTACCAGCCTGTCTGACGCGTTGTGGATCAGCTCTGAGCTCACAGTCACGTCTGCAGACATAGCAAGCTTATAGGCACATCGCTGAGCTACCAAGGAACAGTGACAGCCGCTGAGGGAAAGTAGTCTTTGCACAGATCCTGGGATAAAATACTTCTAGAAACTGCTTTCACAAAAGTCCCAAAATACAGCAAATGAGTGAGGGCTGGTTTTGGTGACCTATGGGCTTTTAGTGAATCCCAGAGCCCAGAGGTGATGGCTCCCATGGAAATTTCCTACTTAGCAATACAGGAGGTGCAGTCAGCACTGCATCCCAGGGCAGCTGAATCGGGTGCTGATCTTAGCCTGCAGAAAGGATACTCCCGTCCCATGTCTCCCTAACTGTCACGAACAGCTTCCAGCCCTCCTACCCACCTTCAATTCCATAGTCAATGTCCATTAAAATGGCAAAGCTGGGCCCTCCCTGGTGGCTCAACGGATTAAAGCACAGCGCTATGAAGCTACCACAGCCACTGCAGCTCGAGTTCCATCCCCAGCCAGGGAGCCGACCCGCATGGCGCAGCACACCTCTCCTGACCCACCCACTGCTCTCTTCAGCAGTGTATTTTGGCACATCTGCCTGTTCTGCTCCCCACTCTGTCTCTGGTGAGTCCTCTCACCCTCCCCACCATACCTCTGGCCTGTATCCCAGTTCTGTGCATAAATGAATAAATCTTTTAAAAAAATGGCAAAGCTGACTCACGCTCAGAGAAAGCCCTTGCACAATTCTCGTGCTACCATCGCACGCCAATCTAACCGCTGACCTTCCTGGAGCTGCAAGCTTCAGTTCTCCTGAAGACGCCTGCACTCCTCCTGAAGCTTCCACTACTGCTTCCCAACTAGTGCGGGGCCTTTTCCACGTGCTCTCCCAACACCCAGGCCCTCCTGCCCCTGTCTCTCTCCCTGTTCAGTGTGCTCCTCTCGCACAGACCCTACACCAAGCCTGTTGGGCTTGCTCCCTCTGCAAGCACAGCATGTCCCATACTGCCTGGTGGGTGCATGTCAAGAAATGTTTGTTGAGTGAATAAATGTGTATGAGTACTTCTACTGCACGCTGTTATTAACTAAAGAGAGCGGTGTGCGTCTGCATCTTACAATTGATCAAATCAGCCTTGGGGACTTCTGGCTGCAGCTCTATTATCAGCTAGTTCATGATTTAGGGAAGATCCTTTTGCCTGTACCCTCCTTTCTCATAGGTCTCGGATGCTTCAGGTAGGTAGGAGCACATAGGTGAAGCTGAGGCCCGAGCTTTGGAGGCATGCAGGGCCGGCCGGGTCTCAGTCCCATGGTACCATGGATGATCTGTGTGCACCGCAGGGAGTCTAACCTGTTTGCCTCCCAGTTTCCTTGTGATCCGGGAAACTACCCACCTTGTAGGTGGTGGGAGGATAAAGCAAGAGTGGCTGCACGGGAAGCCTTTGTCACACAGTAAGTGATCGATACGCTACTGCTCTTATTACTGCCAGCTGGGATTACATGATGCTGATGCCCCGTTTCCTATGGCATGGGTGCTCCCTGTCCTTCCATTAGTATTTGATTCTGAGGCAGGCAAGCTCAGAAGAAGGTCGTGGAGTCTGATGTTGAAGAGAGCACACTTTGTGGGCAGCCCTGGGTCTGAATCCTGGCTCTGTTCAATTTCATCTGAGAATGGCATTAACAGAATGCTTTTTCCTTTGCTGTGTGGCTGGAAGAGTTGAACGAGATAAATACAGGAAAGGCAGCTGGCACAGTGCCTGATATGAAGCTATGGTTATGATGATTTTTCATGGAGGTAAATTTTCCAAATTACATTCTTACTGCAAACACCCAGAGAGTTTCCTTTCAAAGTCACATCATGATTTATTAAAAAGAAAGTAACAGAATCCAGGGCCAGGGCTGGATACAGTTGTAACCTCCATCCCCCCTTTGTTTCTGTGGCTTCAGAGATCTACTCTCCTGACCCCAAGGTCTTGTCATCCTAACTGCTTAGGGACCAGAAAGAACACTCTGGACAATGCCAGAGCAGCTGAGAACCCCATACCCCACAGGACATGGAGACTTGCCTTGGCTTTGCAAGGGGCTATACTCCCAGAAGGCTCCACTGGTGGAGTGGCAGGGCCCCGAGAGCCTTCCACGGGTGGCACAGGAGCTGAGTGTTGAGCCTGTCCTGCCTCTCCTGCTTCCAGGAGGGCAGCCCCACCGCTTCATCCAGCACCTGACCCTGTTCCAGCATAAGAACCCCACCTCCTTATTTTAAAAAGAAGAGGTTTAAGATGCTCGGTTTTAAATGAAGAAAGCTAGTAAACAACAAAATAAACAACACACACAGTGACCCTTAGTCCAGCCAACCCCAGGGTAAGGTCTGCACCAGCAGGGGGCGGGGTGAGGGGGTGGAAGCACAGAGAAAGCAGAGGGATCGTTTTCTTGGCTTCTCTGCAGGACAATGACACTTTGCTCAGTGATGTCCATAATGGCGCGCCTGCAAAACCCAGTGGGTTGTGGGAGGAAAATGCAAGACTTTGTTGTTATCCCATTCCCGCTATATTTCTACATCGGGTATGCTCTATAATTACAAACCTTTTTATGAAGGGGAACTTCTACAGAACCTGCTGACATCTACATATGCCAGGCCTGCTGTGCCTCACATGTTAGGGACTTATTGAATCCTCACAACAGTGCACTGAGATTGGTATTAGCGCCCCTCACTTGACAGGTGAGGTAACTGAGGTAGACAAGTGAAATTAACCCATGCTAGTCACAGAGTGGTAGAGGCAGGATTCCAACCCGGGTAGTCTGGTCTGGCTGCAACTGCTTTCCGTTCTCCTCCTGGCCTCCCAGGGAGACCTCCTGGTGACATGCGTGGATGAGCACCTGTGCTGTGTCAGGACAAGGCTGGCTTCACTGCCAGGGAACAGTTCGATGAGCGTGAGGCTCCTGGACAGGTCACCAGGGGTAGGTGACCAGCCCTGAGTGTGCACGGTGGGTGCTCACATTTGCCCTTCCACGACTTCCTTCCAATAATCACTTCGCTGTTTGCTTTGTCTTGGGTTACTGATCCTGAGGGCTCAGAAATAGCTGAGATACAGGTCTTATTGCAAAGAGCTCATGATTTAGTTTAGATTTCCTTTGGACATTATACTAGAACATAGGAGGTGCTCAGCAAATACCTGAGTGCGGACTTGTGGCTACTAGAGGGGGGAGTGGGAGTCATACCTCTGAGGAGAGGTAACTCTGTTCTCCTGAATCATACACCGTGTTGTAAACCAATGTTGCCTTGATACAAAAAAGAAATAAAAAACTGTTGGCCCTCCCTGGTGGCGCAACAGGTTAAGGCACAGCACTGGGAAGCTAAAGTCACTTCTGCATGAGTTCGATCCCCGCCTGCCCCCAGAGGTGACCACATGGCGCGGCAGACCTCTCCTGACCCACCCGCTGCTCCCCTCAGCAGTGTACTTTGTCGATCTGCCTGTTCTGCTCCCCGCTCTGTCTCTGGTGAATCCTCTCACCCTCCTCATCTCTGGCCTGTACCCCAGTTCTGTATGAAAAAAAAAAAAAATCTTAAAAAAAAAAAAACTGTCATGTTTTGAAAGAGTAACGGATGTTTGCTTAT